CTGAATGTATTTTAATAGACTGAATCATGCCATAAAAGAGCGCACTGTAAATGCGCACGCGCACTCGACTTCACGCAATGTGTGCACTCTGTAAGTTAGGCGTTTTGAACGTTTTTTGTTTGTTTGTTTGTTTTTTGCGTCGTGAGAATATTGAGCAAAATAGCTCACTTGTCATGGTGTTATTTAACTATATCATGTTATGAATAAACTAAACATTGTGAATTTTTACCTCAGTGTGTTCAATGTGTGCACTCTGTAAGTTAGGCGTTTTGAACGTTTTTTTTTTGTTTGTTTGTTTTTTGCGTCGTGAGAATATTGAGCAAAATAGCTCACTTGTCATGGTGTTATTTAACTATATCATGTTATGAATAAACTAAACATTGTGAATTTTTACCTCAGTGTGTTTCTTCTGAGTTCATGTGTGCGGTCACGCTCATTTGTTCTGAAGTCTCGAGACAAACAGAGTGAGCCTCAGCAGCGCGAGCTTGTGTTCTGTATTCTGCAGTTCTCTCTATAGACGCAGTAACTTACCGCGGGGAAGAACAGATCTTCGGTCTGTCCAATGATTGTAAAGTCATTAGGTCCGTCACAGACTGAAGATATTTTAGTGGTAATGAGACCAAAAAAAATTTAAGACCCATCGAATCCGAATTTAAGACTTTTTAAGGACCCGCGGACACCCTGTTATAACTTTACCCTCCTTGTGGTCAGTGTGCACAAGTTCAACAAGCTTGTTTGCTTTGCGTCCCCTTTAAATACAAGATAAGCATTCGCTTACGTCAGAGCGTCAGAGCGTCCACGAATCTTTCAACAGCGTTGTTGGCAGGGCGGCCAGAGCGATGTTTGACGCTCTCGACGGCGGCGGTGTGAACGCGTGCTGACATCATCCATAGCAACAAGGTCAACCCCGCCCTTCCTCTCAGCTTAAAGGGGTCATACGATGTTGCTAAAAAGAACATTATTTTGTGTATTTGGTGTAATGAAATGTGTTTGTGCGGTTTAAGGTAAAAAAAAAACATTATTTTCCACATACTGTACATTAGTTTAATTGAGAATTGAATTGAATTGAAGTAGAATTGAGTTTAAAATTCTTCTACTTGTCTACAAATCATTTAACAGCCTAGCTCCGCCTTATCTTACAAACCTACTTCATCCCTACATCCCCACAAGACGATTACGATCCGAGGAAAAACTTCTCCTCCAGATCCCTCGCACTCGTTACTACTCGACACTATTTTCCTAATTAATGCTGTTCAGTTGCTTTGTCCCAATCTGTATTGTTAAAAGCGCTATATAAATAAAGGTGACTTGACTTGACTTGACTCGTCTAAAGATGAGAGGAAATAGAGCGTTTGAAGTGGCTGGTCCTACTCTCTGGAACAACTTACCATCTCATATTAGAATGGCCTCCACTCTACCCGAGTTTAAATCTGGTCTAAAAACTCTTCTTTTTACCTTGGCGTTTATTAATTGATTTTGTAATAGTCATGTTATGTGTATTTTGACACTATGCTATTAATATTTTACTTATTGTATTTGTGCTATTGACAGTGTACAGCACTTTGGTCGGCTTTGAGCATTTTTTAAATGTGCTTTAGAAATAATCTTGAACTTGAACTTGATTATTGTTTCTCCTCTATGCCCCACCTTTCTAAAACGCATCGATTTTTACGAAGCTCATCGGTCTGAAAAGCGAGGTGTGGTCTGATTGGCCAGCTATCCAGAGTGTTGTGATTGGCCAAATACCTCAAGCGTGTGACGGAAATGTTACTCCCCTTACCATACTGTGATGCCCTGTACCGGAGCTATGAGACAAAAACAATAAAACCCATTTTTACAAAATGCATTACAATGCATTTATACAAAATGCATTGTAAACGATGCATTTGTTGCATAATTACGGATTATAATGACTTATACTGTCTTATTACGTGTTGCGTTGCATCGCGCCGTGTAAACATAAAACCATGTTCTCATTTGTGATTGGAGAAATGACAAACAACAAGCGCTACTCTACACTGCTCAAAACTCGCGTTTGAATCGTCAGTGGCAAATTCTTTAAATATGAAAACTTACTTACAGTCTGTGAGTCAGAACAGCCGGCATTGTAGTCTACTCTCCCAGGATCAGGAAACAGTCTTCCATAAAATGCGCTGCACACATCTGAATATTTGGGTTGAACTGTTCTGGAACAGTGTGGTAAATACAACTTAACCATTGATTTCTAGTCGTGTCCTCTTTTGGAAGACCAAACAAAGTAGTTTTGCTTTCACAACGAAACACACAGCGTCACACACGGCGGGCTTGAGAACGGCGCAGCCAGCAGATTCGACGAAGGAGCGGCCGGCGGGCTTGCAGCAACCACATGTGACGACCCCGGGCTGGACTCCGCTTCGTCCACAGTGAAAGCCGATCCGGTGATTCACAGCGCGAAGTTGATGTATTTCCTCAGCGACCAGCACAGATCAGCTCTAGGCATGACGAAGCAGATATCGTCCTCTTTTGGAAGGCCAAACAAAGTAGCTTCGCTTTCACAATGAAACACACCGCGCCTTCACAACATGGCGGTGGCGGCAGCAACAATACTACAGCGAGAGTAAAAGTTAGGCCTTCTTTCTTTGCATGAACATTTGGGCGGTGTTATGCAAATCTTCCCACATAGCGACGTAGACATGTGGGGGCGTGTTAGAACTCAGGATTTTCTCCATCTTTCCACTTTGTGTTTGCCCTACCAGTGTTTACATGCAAGTTTTTTTTTTGTCTTTGTCAGACTTTCTGTCTACTGGCTTCCGATCTTTTCTACTTCTTGGACCGTACAGGTACTGATTCTTTTCTTATTACCAAACTTCTTCTTTTTCTTGTTTTTTAACTGTAGCTGTCATCCAATGTATTAGGCAAACCAAACAACACTATTCTACTAGCGTACCTAAAAAGGCGCAGCCAATGAGTGTGAGGATTCTCTCAGAGGTTGGGTCACGTCATGGAAAAATACAACATTTCTATGCAAATCTTTTTAATAGGAAACTACTATAAATACAGTCTTCGTCTAATGTGGGTACACACCATTAAGTATTTTTTACAAAAACATTATTGTGTAAAACATTTTAAATTAGCACCAAACTACTGAATGCAGCTTTGACCTTGACGGTACCACTGATTCTCATAAAATAACTTCATAAGTATCCCTTCTGCCATTTGCTTACTTACATATTAATTTATAATGTATCCTTCTGGTGTTTCATGACTAAAAACAGCAGCTCAGATTAGTGTCAGAAATGCAGGGGAAAACATATGGCACATCCCAAGCACTGCTAATATCAGGCTGACCTACTACACTAAGGAATGAGAAACAAGGGCAATGTGAACAAAACACGGCAAAAGGTGACAACATCACTATTGTCATGCATGGAGCTGGTGTTACTTTTTAGCAGGAGCGCAACATGAGAACAAAATGCATGCAAATCCCCTATTTCAGCCAGCCAGAGATCTGTAATCAAGGGCAACATTCATTTCATCAGCAGGGATAAGCACACAAGGGAAAACCTATGAATAGCAAGAAAATGGTTGTTATTCTGGAACACCTCCACCAGAGCCCTGACTTCAATCCAATTGGGAAAACTGTAATAAGACCTGAAGATCATCCACAGATGTTCTCCACCTGTTTGGCAGAGGTGGAGCAAATAGTCACTGGAGAATGTGCAAAGAAATCATAAACAGAATTGAGTAAAGGAATAAGAAGTGTCTCTTATTTTCACATTTTAATTTTTAATGCTATTAACGAAAAATTATATGTGGTGAAACGTTAATGGTCAAATGTATATGATATAAAGTCCATCTGCCTTATGTTTACCATTTAGTTTTTTAAAAACAAAGAAGTTTGTGTATTTTTAAAAATATAACTCTTATATAACTTTTTTTTATATAACTGATTTTATTTTAACATTCCTTATACAGCCACACATATTTAATGTCCCCTTATTGGTAAATTGGGGCACTTTTGACACTGACATGAGATTAAAGAGATAGTCCATTAAGTAATGAAAATTCTGTCATCATTTACTCCCCCTCATGTCATTCCAAATGACTTTCTTCTGTGAAAGACAAAAGAACATATTTGGAAGAATGTTGATAACTAAACAGTTTGTTCTTCCTTTTGACACCATTGTATGGACACTTGGAAGTCATGGAAGTCAATAGGAACCAAAACTGTTTCGTTTTCAACATTCTTCAAAATTTCTTATTTTGTCTTCCACACAAGAGAGAAAGTCTTACATGTTTAATTTTCGACATAAGGGTGAGTAAATGATGACAGGATTTTCATTTTTGGGTGGACTGTCCTGTTCCTGTATTTCAAGTTGCAACTAAGGCATGGTGCTAATGCCAGCTCAGTTTCTCATCGTTACATTCAGTCTCTTGTTTTCAGTTGCCAAAACCAATCAGCCAATGGCAAGGAGGGGTTACATCATAATTGTTGACTCAAATTAAAGTTCTGTCATTATTTACTCATTCCAAACCCATAAGACATTAATTTAAAGAGCACACAGTATCTATTATGTGTCACGCAAGTATGGTAGAGCATGAACTTTCAATGGAGGGACAGAAATTTCTTGTTTTAAGATGGGGAAAAAATCTTATTTGTTTAACTTGTTTTTTTTTTTATATACTTGAAAGCAATGTTCTTTTGCACCTGCTGATTTTCCTCTGCAGTGCAGTACTGAGGACTTCCTGAGATGTTGTTTTTTTTTTTTGCATGGTCTCAGCTGGCCTGGTTTCGGTTTCATGCTGCAGTTGACTTTATATCCTCTCTGTAAGGTTATAAATAAGATGTAACACATCGGTCTACACCTGTACACTTTATTTATTTTTTTGTAAAATAATTTCTGCAAGTTTCAAGTGGAAGCAATTATGAGCAATTTGCCTCACAGATTTGTAGCTGGATTCATTGTCGCACAGCCTGTTTATCAATATAGTTTTATAGTCAAATGTTCTCCTCGTTGTAGCACATTAATCCCAAGAAGCAGACCATTGGAAACTCCTGCAAGGCTTGTGGTTACAGAGGCATGTTGGACACTAGACACAAACTCTGCACCTTCATTCTCAAGAATCCACCAGGTAAATACAGATTTAGAGAGACGGTGAATAGATTTTGAATCCCCAGTGGTAAACGTATGATTATCTTCACTTTCATATTGTGCTTATTGTCCTTTTTAATGTTCCACAAACCTTTAAATTTTTGAACTAAAACTGAAGGAAGGCTTGGGTATTTGGGTAACCCTAATCTATTTTGGATTTAGTATGTGCTTGTAAGCAGTATGTATCTGCAGTAATGGTAGCCAAAAACTCTGATCTTCTGACCTATGCCATGCTGATTTGATGTTCATGAACTAAACTCTATTGCTCTTTTGTTAACTTCCTCTCTCCTGCCATGTTGGTGCAGAGAATGACAGTGGATCTGCGAAAAAAGAAAAGGAAAAGAAGAACCGAAAGAAGGACAAAGAGAATGGCTCAAGTGGTGGAGAAGCTGGAAACCATAATGACATAGATGCCCCTGATGCTGTGGTAAGTGCTGCTTTGAGATCATCTCCTGAAAAACCACATACCAGCGTAAGGGATGAGAAATACTGGTGTTGAATGTGATCTTATGACAGGATGGGGATGACGATGAAGACTGGGCTGAGGAGACCACAGAAGAGGCCCAGCGTCGCAGGATGGAGGAGATCAGCGAGCACGCCAAGGGTCTCACGCTCACTGATGACTTGGAGAAATCCTTGGAGGAGAGGGTCAACATATTTTACAACTTTGTGAAGGTGTTTGTATTAAAATTGTACTGAAAATTTGGGGAAAATTGCTCTCTATATATAGACACTTTCCTCATTCAGCTCCATTCTTTGTTTCTGCTCTTCAGGAAAAGAAAGACAGTGGAGCAATTGACTCGGCAGATAAAGAGATCTTGGCTGAGGCTGAAAGGCTGGATGTGAAGGCCATGGGTCCTCTGATCCTAAGCGAGCTGCTCTTTGATGAGAACATCCGTGAACAGATCAAGAAGTACAAGCGCCACTTTCTCAGGGTACGTCCTCATCTGTTAACATTTAAAACACTGATTCTCAATGTTTTTAAGAGCTGAATTTTTATTTTTTGACCAATGAATTCACAACTTTTTTTTTTTTTTTTTAGTCATTCAGCATTCACAATTTAAAGGGTTAGATCACCAAAAAATTAAAATTCTGTCATTACTCGCCCTCATGACGTTCCAAAACCATAAGACCTTCGTTCATCTTTGGAACACAAATTAAGATATTTTTGATGAAATACAAGAGCTTTCTGACATGTTCAGGGGCCAGAAATATAGTACGGACATCATTAAAATAGTCCATGTGACATCAGTGATTCAACTGTAATTAAGAATCCCCTGATTGGGAAACCTGCACTACAACAGCAAAGACTTCCCATGCGTACAAACCTTATTCCTTTTGTTAAAATGCACTAATGCTGCTTTTACAAATAACACTGTCATTCTGGCTTGTTATTGCACTATAATAAGTGTAAGAAGTTTACATTTCTGTCCACAGTTCTGCCACAACAATAAGAAAGCCCAGAAATATCTTCTGGGTGGCTTTGAGTGCCTGGTGAAGCTGCATCAGATGCAGCTCTTACCCAGAGTCCCCATTATACTCAAAGACCTGTATGACGCGGATCTGCTGGAGGAAGATGTCATACTCGCATGGGCTGAAAAGGTAACTTGCCAACACACAGCCTCTAGACTTGACCTTCTAGAATCTCAGATGAAACGATGTTGGTCAGAGTTGAACGTGGCTCAGATAAAAGTAGTTTAGATGCATGAATCCAATTCTGATCTCTGGCAGCTCTCTGAAATAACAGGATGATGAAAGGATGATGCGGTCGGTTACCTGTTGCTAGGCAACCCTTGTCATTTTAGCCTGAGTGTCAGAGGGGGTTGTAATATGGTAACGTCTGTGACCTGCATGCTGCTGGAGAGCCCAGGGTCCGATAGCAGCAAGCACACTTGACTAGTCTAGTGTTCTGGAGTTTAAGCCTGTTGGTGACGTTTCTGCTATAGGTGTCTAAGAAGTATGTCTCCAAAGAGTTGGCTAAAGAGATTCATGCCAAGGCGGAGCCCTTTGTTAAATGGCTCAAGGAGGCAGAGGAGGAGAGTGAGGGCAGTGAGGAAGAGGAAGATGATGACGATGACAACGTTGAGGTAAAAAAAAAAAAAAAAGCCGTGTTACTACATCAGTTTTCATAACCAAGATTTTAGATTTATAGTAAGATCATTGTAAATATAGTATGTTAGTTATTCGATAAACATTGTTAGTACAGAATTTACTCTCATCTTCCTTTTCTCTAGGTGGTGTACTCCTCCTCTGCCCGCGAGTTGAAAATGGAGACCACAAAACCTGAGAAGTCAGACCATGAGGAGGAGGACATTGATATTGATGCCATTTAAAGATGAAACCAAAAACCTTCAGTTGCCTCTTCACATATTGCTTGGCTTCTTTTTGTCAGACGCATGCCTTTCACCTCCTTTGGCCTTTTCTTCAGCTCTAGGCCTGGGTTAGCGCTCTGCTCAAAGCCTCTTATTTGAGTCTTTTCTAACCAGCTGTATTGATGAATTGTTGCTGTTGTTTGTATGCATGAGTTTTAGATTATAGAGCATAAATGCACACGAGTTCCCCTTGTATTTTTGCAACTATTAAAGATTTTCCTGTGAATTCCACCATGTGTCTGTCTAGTTGGTTTACGACACTATTAATATATAATATTAAAGGCTGTTCAAAAGTCTGGGGTCAGTGCTTCCACTATAGTATTAAGCCGCACAGCTGTTAAGAAATGTTTCATGAGCACCAAATCAGCATATTGGAATGATTTCTGAAGGATCATGTGACACTGAGGGACTGGAGTGATGATGCTGAAAAATCAGCGTTGCATCACAGAAATAAGTTATATTTTGAAATGTATTCAAATATGTCATTTTAAATTGTAATATTTTACAATTACTGTATTTACCATATTTGTAATCAAATAAATGCAGACTTGGTGAGCAAAAGATACTTTAAAAAACATTGCTAAAAAATCTTACTGACCCTAAACTTTTCTGTAATGATAGTCACTGTAGGGAAGTGGGTTGTGACTACTAATTGCACTAGGTAGATATCAAGCACTTGGACGTTTCCAAATCGGGCATTTGTTTATCTTTTAATGTAGCACATTTGAAGTAATGTTTTAGTTATGGGTCTTTTGACAGATCAAAATCAGACATTAGGCCATTAAATCCAAAACATGTAAGACAAATCCAGTAAATCATAGAAATACTTAACACAAAACACAACAGTCTCTGCACACGTCCATATAGAAAGTCAAAATTTCCTTATTAACAGAAACAATCCTAACATTCTGCAAGCAGCTAACTACTACTACTTTAGCAACATTTATATCAAAGATCATAAATATTATTTTCCATTTAGTCTTTGCACCAGTAGAAGACAGATCACAGTGTTTTGCCCTACACAGGGCATTTTTGTTAAATGCTATTTTCAAAAAGTACAAAATGCATTAATGCAGGACTTATACTATTACTTCTTTGTCAATCTTTGAGGATTTTGGCGCATACACACTTTTTTTAAATATAAATTTTGGATGGTATTACATTGTGCAAAATGCAGATAAGGTAAAACACCCCACTAGTCTAATATTTCTCTCTATCCTGATTAGCTTACATTGATCTTAGTGCAACACGGAGGTAGTTTGACAACTACCAGCTTCTTTTCATTAACACTTATTAACATTAATATGCCAACTTAAACAACTGCATTTATCTAATTAACAAACAAAACTACGATGGGAATGAGAATAACATCAAATTCAAAAAGCAACTGCTACTAACGTCCCTTAAATTTTTGGTTCAGAATCTTAAATATCCATAACATTCAGTTAAAGGGATATTCTGGGTTCAATACAAGTTAAACTCAATCAACAGCATTTGTGACAGAGTGTTAATCAACATAAAAAATATCTCAAATTGCTTATTAAAAAAAGAAAAATGGAGGTTACAATGAGGCATTTACAATGGAAGTAACTGGGGCCAAGCTTACCATTTTATAAATAATGTGAAAATTATTTGAGCTTAAAAGTGACATTAAAGACATTTATGTTACAAAAGATTTCTATTTCAAATAAATGCTGTTCTTTTGAATTTTCTATTCATCAGATTCCTGAAAAAATATGACATTTTTTTGAGGATTTAAAAGCAGAAATGTGAAGCTTGTCATATTATAAAATCACTTAAAATGCTTTGTTTTGTTTTTTACTATTACAGTTTGCATATTATTTGGGCTGTAAAGCTGTTTAAATTATTTTTAAAGTCTTTTTAGGGTTTACAGCATTGCGTTGTCATGGGAAAAAATGTAAAATTGTAAATAAATATACACAGAATAGAATAGAAGTAATTTTTCTCACTAAAATCATGTTAACGTTCATACTATTTGCCATCTGTGACTATACTATTGAAACACTGAGTATTTTAATTTTAATGTTTATGAATTGGCCCAGTTTTCTATTTTAAGTGCCTTACTATATCCCAGATCTTATTAGATTTTTTTGAAAATAAAAGGTGGGACAAGGAAATACATTTTTGTGATAATTAACATTATGCCACAAATGCTATCAGTTTGAACCTGGAATATTAATTTAATGCAAATTCAAGAGAATAGGGCAAATCTCTTTTATTAAATAAATATCAGATTCAAATTGAAAAGGAAAAGCATTGTGATGCTCATTTTTATTTATTTATTTTTTTCTCCATGACTAGAATAAAGGTATCACTGACAGCTTCACCAGAAGAGGGCACTATTGGCTTAGTCATCTATGATTTTGACGATTGCACAACCTTTTCCCACTGTAGCATCTTTCCCCATATTGCTTTTGGTATATTCAGCTTTGGCACGTTACCGTGGATATCGATCACTTTTGAATTCAAGTGACCATGCTGGCAGCTTAAATCAGAATTATTTTAGAATGAATCGAGACGTGGCACTGGAGAAATAATCAGTGCTACATTGAGAAACTCAAATGAGAAAAGTGCCGACAACCCTTGTGTTTGACCCTACAGTAAAGGCTGTGTTATCTCACTGTTGGACAGATGCAGTGGCAGATGCTGCCGCTGTGTCACCTGTTGCACAAAGATGAAGAGGAACCCGATCACGAGGGCAGCGCCGAGGACGGATCCCACGGCCCATGCGCAGGAAGGCTCTCTGGGCACGGGTGGGACCACTGGCTTTGGGGTTGATGTCTCCACTAAGAGATCCTGCACGCTTGACAAAGAGCCATTGTTAGGTAAGGGCTTGAGACCAAGAATGCTGCACATGAGAGGATAGAGATCGACGGAGCGCATGGAGGCCTTGGTGTAGTCGCAGCGGAAAGCAGGTCCACGGGCGACAAACAGAGGGTGCATGCTGGGAAGGCTGTTGTTATAACCATGGTTTCCCACTGCAAATCAAGCATGTAATCATTAGATAACTGCAAAGATATTTCTGATACTGATTGGTAAGCACGTCAATGACATTAAAGGAATAGTTCGGGCAAAAATTTAAATTTGCTGAAAAATTACTCACCTTCAGGCAATCCAAGATGTAGATGAGTTTGTTTCTTCATTGGAACAGATTTGGAGAAATTTTGCATTACATCACTTGCTCACCAATGGATCCTCTGCAGTGAATGGGTGCTGTCAGAATGAGAGTCCTAAAAACATCACAATAATCCACAACACAACTCCAGCCCATCAATTGTGAAGCAAAAAGCTTCATTTTTGTAATACACAAATCCATCAAGGATGTATTCACACCAGGAAAGTCCGCTAGTTCTGTAATTTGGACAGAAATTCTCAAGCAGGGAAAAACAGGAAGTGCAAAAACAGGCTAATCATGGAGATCTTTGTGTGCAATTTCTATTCTTTTACTGATTTGGTGTTTTCAGATACTAACGGAATATGAGGAAACTTATGAGCATCATATGAGACAATGTCATACGATGTTGTAATTACGACTTGCCGAAAATAAAATCTATAGACATAAAATACTTAAAGCATATCACAATGTTAGTTTAAACATTTAACCAAGAAACATTTAACGTTCAGAACTGTAAAGGGTCTATTTTTATTTGTGTGCACTCACAATATCAAGAAAATGTGCTTTTGTAAAATAAAGTAAACAAATAGGATGCGCTTGCCGTCTCGGTCTTGAACAGGAGCGCTTCACAAAAATGCACCGAAACTCAGCGAATATTTTCCTTACAGACATGATGAATATATCTATAGAAAGCTTTAAATGACTACAAAACAAAATAATTCAAATCCAAAACAAAAACTCTTATTATGTAATCCGTAAAGATACATTTCTTTCTAAAGGCGCATCCAATGATGAGATGTCGAGTCAGGATCATCAAATTCATTGTGACACTGACTCATAAAACACTAGTTTATTAATAATTAATTCAAATATCTCCTTACTATTTTCCCGCAACATAGTCATGGTAATTTTTGCGGCAAGCTTTAGCCTATTTAGCGCGCTCACGTCACATTGCTGTACACCATGGTCACGAAAACTCATAATTTGCATGTGTTTTTAAGCATTGTGGTTTAAAAACAAGGGATTTAAGCCATTGAAACCCAAATAACAGCACTATATGTGTGAGCTGTCTGTTTCTGAGCGTGATTTCTGTCGGATCGAGGTCGGGTCATATTCACACCTTAAACGAACCGTACCAGAGTTCGTTTGGAAGCGGACCGAGACCACCTCTTCAGCTGGGTCTCGGTGCGGTTGTTTGGTCCGCACCCGAGTGCGATTGCTGTGTTCACACCTGCCAAAAAGGTCCGCACCAAGAGGGAAAAACGAACTTGAGTTCGATTCAGTCGAACCAAACAAGACAGGTGTGAATACAGCCTAAGCTTTTTACTTCATAAAACATTAACTGATGGACTGGAGTTGTGTTGTGGATTACTTGTGGATTATTGTGATGTTTTTATCAGCTGTTTGGACTCTCATTCTGATGGCACCCATTCATTGCAGAGGATCCATTAGTGAGCAAAGTATGTAATGCTAAATTTCTCCAAATCTGTTCTGATGAAGAAATAAACTCTTGGATGGCCTGAGGGTGAGTACATTTTCAGCAAATGTTCATTTATGGGTGAACTATTCCTTTAATAGGTTATCGTACTATGTTCTGCTTAAATTGTGTAAATATTAATACGTACACATAAAAGATCCGTTTCTGTTCTGCATGATCGTCCAGCCCTCTTTGACCTCTATGATCAGAGGCATGATCCTGACATTGTGTCTGTAGTGGTAATGATCTGGGATCTCCTCCTTTTTATACACAACCATGTTAGGGTTGGCGTTCTTCAACGAATTGTAGACCTCTTCAAGTTTGCCTGGGTTAAGAAGAGAATAACACTCAAAAAACACCCGTTTCTTGAACTATAGGCATATTTTGCCATTTAAAAGGCATATTTTGTTGTGTTATATTCTGTGATGATAATGGTAATGTAAAGTACTTTCTACAATAAAATATCATAGTTTTAATAATTAATATTTTATGATGGATTTTCACACATTTGCAAATTAGTAAAATGATCAAATCTATACCAAAAAAAAGGCCTTTGAAAAATACCAAAAATATAAGATTAAGGCATGGTAAAACTTTCCAATACAATATTAATTTAGGGGTGGGCTATATACTGGTATACACGATTATCCGGTAGAAATTAGTCAACCGGTAGATATTTTGGACTATCGTAACTTTGCTGTGCTTTGTGGTCATGAAAGCGTATTGTTTGCCTGAGTTTGTAAGCATTTTAAGCAAGTGATTTTAAGTCGTTGAAATGCAGTCAGCAGCAAAAGAGAATGCATTTTGCTATATGCGCACACTGTCTGAGAGACAGTTTCTGAGCACTGTCAGAGAGGTGCGCACACGTGAAGACGGTGCTCAGAGCACGGGAGTATTGAACAGTTATTTTTGCTGCTTTATAGGCCTTGAATGGTTAAATACACACACATGTATGTCAAATGCCCGTCTTTGCAAGTATCCTCGTACACACAGTGTGAAAAACGTGTATTGGACCCAGGCAGCTCTTAAAGTGATAGCAGTCTAATATTCCTGCTGTCTGTTATTCATGTTAATCAAACAACAAAAAAAAAGAAAATCTTTCACCGCTCCTGACTAAATCACTTTTGTTTTTCTTTTACACAGTGAATAATATGTAGTGTTTTTATACATTTGATTACTTTATACAATGTATGTAGCATTTCTTATTTATTTGTTCTGCTGTAGTTTGTTTTGCCCCATTGCTTGTAATTAGTTTCTTATTCTTATTTAATTGCTGATTGTTTACTTGTCTTCAGTGAGCTTGAATTTTTATTAGGCTAGTATTAGTTTTTGTGATATTGCCACTGGTGACAAGAATTATGAAATTTCTATGGTTTAAAAAAATTTTATATCATAAAGACGTTATTTAAAGCAAAAACATCTATATTGTGAAATACTATATCTGTACAGTGAAACAAAATTACTCTTATCGTGATTTTGGTCCTTTTGCCCTCCCCTATATTTATGTGATCTTTTATTAAACAAAATAAAAGAAGGTAGTGGAAGAAACACCTAATTAAATGACTAGTGTAATAAGCGATAACAAATGCTTTATATTCATTCTTACCTTCTTTCGGCAAAATGCCAACTACAGGGCTCTTGTCTATCCATGTGTAAAGATCGCGGCTGACGTAGGTGTCCAGCTCAATAATCTTATCATGTGATAACTGTGTCATTCCATGATCACTCGTAACAATGAGATTGACTTTGTCATAAAGGCCAGCGGTTCTGAGCTTTCCCCTGAGGAATCCCAACTTCTCATCGATGTCTGCTATGACTACATCCATTAGTGGGCTCTCCGGCCCCAAGTTATGCCCACTCTCGTCTGGCTCCTCCCAATACAAGACACCAAAATTTATAGCCTCTGGCCCTGAGAACCAGTCAATGAGTTTCTCGACTCGGGTCTCAAATGTCATTGACGCATTATAACTCAAATAATGTGTTGGATACGTTCCACCAATCGCTACATCTGATCCAGGCCACATGGCAGCTCCGCTCTTCCGCCCAGCCTTCTGATTGGTGACCCACAACGGCACAGCCTCCTCCCACCACCATGCATCGTACACTTCAGATCCCTCCATGGAAAAGGTGAGGTTGTGAATGGGGTCGTACATTTCATTAGCAACAATGCCGTGGGTTTCGGCGTGTAATCCTGTCACTAAGGTGTAGTGGTTTGGGTAGGTCTTGGTGATGTAGGTGTTCTCCACTTGTTCCACCTGCACACCCTCATCCATCAGGGCACGGAAATTGGGTGTGGGTACTCGATTCACATAGTCCCAGCGGAAGCCATCAAAGGACACCAGTAGCAGCTGGCTTTGCTCGTCCTGCTGTGAGCTCGATGTCTGAAGCAGTACTAATAAGCAACTCAGGAAGCAGCTCTTAATCACTAAGAGGTCTGGCATGATGCAAGATGTTCTGCGAATGGGAGACCTATAAAAAGCAAATTCATTGTAGGCATGAATGAGGAATGAAAGAAGGTTTTGACCACTGACCACATTTACATGCACATATTTTTGTGATTAATGTCAACAGTGTTGTTACAACTTGATCAGTTATTGGAATTCCTTTGTACATACAGTAAGCAAATTGCAAGATATGCACATTAATTTCTAACTTAATATAAACACAATCCCATAAAAGTGAAATATTGTTACGTAAAGTTTGCAATATGTATGTAAAATCATTCAAAACAAGTTTTTCTTAAACGGCTTGACTTTTCAGAACTGTCTGTATCTAATATCATCCAGATATATTTTTGTTTGGACAAGCACAGATATAAATCAAAGTTCGTTACAGTGGATATTCTGAATAAGGTGTTTATATATATTCAGATTACTAGAAACCAGAATGTTGCATTAATCTGATTAAGTTAATGTGTCAATAATTTCTGATTAATATTTAATTATCTTTAATATAATATAATCGATATGGAATTTGGGGGGGGGGGTTCTAAACAAAAATAAATACATTTAAATAAATTAAATCAATATTATATTTTCACTTTATTTTAATATATTTTATTGTCACTTTATTTTCATTTTATTATATTTTATTATAATATCGTTTCTTGTAAACCACCGTTAATGATTTCAACAGGGGAATGCATCTCTGCAAACGATTTTTCTTTCAAATGAAAAGATAAATATGGGAAGAAGAAAAACATTACACAACAATGACTCACCTCTCTATTAAATAACAAAGAACAACTGATAAATTGTTTTTAAAAATCCCCTTATATCTGTTTGGCAAAATGCAATCGTTCGCGCAATGTTCTGTAAAATATGAATGGCACTGCATGTATGTTCGGCTATTTATGTAATATTCGGTTATGGCAGTGCAGCCTACTTTCAGCGCGCCTGCTCAGTTAACAGGTGCATTTTTCTTATACATAATGTAACAACTAACTGGATACATTTCGGACTACAAACGTAAAATGTACCAAAATAATTCAATTGTAGTGCGTCAGTAAAAATGGAAGATGATGACATCAGACACAATGCAGCGCATTTCTGTAACCCATAACGGTGCTCGCTTCCACAAACGCTCTAACAGGTTGAAACGGGTGTAAAATGTACCAAAATAATTCAATTGTAGTGCGTCAGTAAAAATGGAAGATGATGACATCAGACACAATGCAGCGCATTTCTGTAACCCATAACGGTGCTCGCTTCACTGGTGTCCTGCTTTTTGAATACATCTACCCTGTTGGGTCTAAAATAATATTCTATAACATTATCCTCAACTAACCAGTGCGCTTCTCCGTTTAACAGCAGCTGGTGTAAACGAACGGGAAACCGTATATAGCTCAAGTTAGCGCAGTGCATGATCTATGACAACGTTTTATGCCATTGCAATACATTATGAAAACGTCTCCTATATCAAGCACATTCGCAGTGAAAACGGGTGCATTTGCTCAATTAAAACGAATGTAACCCGTGTGCATGCAAATAAACGTACAGCTTACCTCTGTGGACGGTATTTGGCTCTGCAAAAAATAATAAACACAGGGGCGAACAGAACACAGGAGGTCCCGCCTATTTCTCACTCACCATAAAGCATCTCATTATGAGAAGGAAAAGTCATTGGGGAAAAATCAATAGCGCTAACAACACTATCAATTTTATTTTTATGGAATAATTTGTTAGAGTGTAATAATATTTGTTAGGGCTACTGAAGTCTAAATGATAGTTGTAAATGTCACTATAGGCTATCCATATACTGTTCTTCTAAATAATGACTTTTTGTTGTGTACAATATTTTAACCAGTGGATGTAGAATTGTTTTCAGAAGGATCAAGTTACGTCCCTTACGGTCGCCGCTTAAAACATGCTGTGTTTGTGATTTTTTTATTTATTTATATGATTAAGTATTGATGTTCTGTAGGCTACTTCAATGGTCCGTCCTTCAATGTGATCAAAAACGCACGAGCAGCCTTTGCCTCATCACATGAACGGTTGCTGAGTTCTGTCCGCGAGCGTCTATTTACCGTCAGCTGAAAACAGAAGTTCTGGCTAATCTATTTTTTGACCGTTACTGGCACATACAAGCCTTTTAATAACTGCCTACTTATATAAAAAGAATATGACTAATACAAGTTTTATTCTCAACATTGTCCACCAGAGGTCACACAAACATAACCTAATAGGCTACACGGTCATAAACAGGCAGTTTAAATATTAACCATATGCATTTCAGTCTTAAATAATAGGCTAAGTGTTTGGAAATAGATACGACGAGATGTGGTCTTTTACTTTTCTGGTGCTTCTGCTTATTAAAGAACTAAACTACACACCATAACACGCGTTCTCTGAAAGTCTCTGTGAAGTCCTACAAATAAATAGTTCGGATTAAATGTATGCAGAAGTAGATGTAAGATGGGGCTTGTAAAATGTTTGAAGTGATAATTAATATTTATTTTTACTATAAGAGTTTTAGAGGAGTGTAAGTTGGGCTCTCTCTGTGAGATCCGGGAGATTTCTTTCTTTCTTTCTTTTTTTATTAAACATTATTCGAATACAAACACTTAAGGCATATTTTAACAATCATAAATCAGTTTTTTTCCCGTGTTGAAACAGCATTTAAAGAATAACAAAACAATACAGAGAGAGAGAGAAATAATAATAATAATAATAAAAAGGGGGTGAGGGTCTTAATCTAATAACATGTATAAATCCAAAGCAGAAAGAAGTTTCAAGGCATTTCTGTCCATCATCCGTTGAAGGGATTTTGCAAATAACTTCAAATCATTCTTCAATCCAGTGAAATGGGGTTTAACCTTTAAATACTTATTTTAAAGAATAACAAAACAATACAGAGAGAGAGAGAAAAAAATAATAATAATAATAAAAAGGGGGTGAGGGTCTTAATCTAATAAAATGTATAAATCCAAAGCAGAAAGAAGTTTCAAGGCATTTCTGTCCATCATCCGTTGAAGGGATTTTGCAAATAACTTCATATCATTCTTCAATCCAGTGAAATGGGGTTTAACCTTTAAATACTTACATCTGTGGACTCTGTGAGATCCGGGAGATGCTACTGGACTCGCGGCGTTGTGCAGATTCTTTACCGTCTCCACGACAACCACAACCTGACGCAACTTACGCCCCGCCTCCATTCAAGCGTCTCATCTCATTCAAGAAACAAGTGTGGAGTACGAGCAGTGTTATTGTGCTCTCCTCTAGAGCAGCACGCGAGGAGTACAAGTGCCTGACAAACTACTATGAAGGTAAGAATCATCTTTTAATCTAATACTATCTGCATAAAGAGAGCGTCCAGACTCCCTAAACCACATATAAACTAGATAAAATATTCAAATATTCTTTAAGAGTCACCATTGAGCTGGCTAACAGGGTACTTTGCCTGACCTGAGTGCAGAAGTTTTTTTTAGGCGACTTTCAATAGCCTAAAATACTTTAATTGATTTTCCACGCAGGGTGTATCTGCTTCATGATGTTTTATTCTAATAGGTTGATTGAGCTGGTGTAGCCTATTTTAAAGTAACACCTTTCATTAAGTTATTAAAAAAGTAAACACATTTCATGTTCATGAATTGTCTAGAGTTATTCATGTTTTCATTTGGTCTGTATTTACCAGGGCTCAGTTAATCATTGTGACATGTGTAATAAATAAACTAGTTGGTAATAATCAAAGTAATGTTGTTACATGTTGTAACAGCTTCAACAGAAAGTTATTAGACATCAAGGCAATATTTATGACCGTGATTGTGAAGTGAGACTCTGGCTAGTTCATTTTCACTCCAAATCGGAGAATCATTTTATGCTGAGAAACCAAGATTTGCTCTCTAGATATAGGACAGTAAGGTTCACCGCATCTAATTAGACGTATAAATGCAGTCATGCCTAGTGTTCCAAACGGTCTGTTTGGCCTGAAGAACATTTAATAGGCCTAGGTCTGGAAAAAGGAACAATTTCCCCTTGAGATCTGCATTCTAAACATAATACTTTAGAGAGTGTGGAAAGATAGGCTACAGCACTCAAAACCAATATTATTCATGAAAAGGGAATAAAAAAGTTTGAAAATTTCCAGGTTATTATTATTATAGGTTTTACAGTAGGCCTATGTGTCCTTACATATACTTATACAGTACTTACCTGAGAAAGTACTGGGTAATATATGGTAACACCACACAAGTTTATGGGTAGGTTCAGGGGTCAGTACCTAGTTATTAACCAGTTATTGTAATTACTAAATAGTAGATGCAGAACAGGACTGTAAAATAAAGTGACAAGTTTTATTAAATCAAGTAAGTGCAAAACCTGCAAATCTTGTTTAGTCTATGCTACAGGCATTTATATATTACATATATATTCATGAAAAGGGAATAAAAAAGTTTGAAAATTTCCAGGTTATTATTATTATAGGTTGCACTTTATTTTACAGTAGGCCTATGTGTCCTTACATATACTTATACAGTACTTACCTGAGAAAGTACTGGGTAATATATGGTAACACCACACGAGTTTATGGGTAGGTTCAGGGGTCAGTACCTAGTTATTAACCAGTTATTGTAATTACTAAATAGTAGATGCAGAACAGGACTGTAAAATAAAGTGACAAGTTTTATTAAATCAAGTAAGTGCAAAACCTGCAAATCTTGTTTAGTCTATGCTACAGGCATTTATATATTACATATACATATTACATGTAATATACAGTATTTTCATTCACTTTGTAGAGTCTCAAGCCTTATTTCACCATGAATTATCAGTTTGCCTCAAATGTTAAAGTCTTGGTATGTAGTCAGTAAGTGTTTTGAGAAGCACATTTTTTCAGACTAAAGTGAGAGTGGTCTGGGATGAATGGATCCCCCTGTGAGATGAGTCACGTTAGTGCTGCCACACACAGTGCGGGAGGTGGAGCAAAGCGCTAAATGAGCCGAGACTTCAGGAGTGTGATTAGTCCCGCAGCCGTGTGGAGGCTAATGTGAGGCCAATTAACAACCAGCACACTCCTCTTATGGGAAGAACGCATTCCTAGAGCAGCTGCGATGATGAAAGACGTCAAGGCAATGCGCCAAACACTATATCACAAGTAGGCCTACATTGGACAGACAGCTTTGTGGGAAAGCATTAAAAATGTGGGTGGTCCTGAGACTAATTAGATAATGAGCACAATGCTGGTGCATTGCTGTGTAACATAGCTATATGTGATTGTGTTCTCAGCAGTAGTTTTGCTTGTCTGTATTAGAGTAATGAGAGGCTGTAATTGAGCAGCATTGTGTTCTTTGGTGATTGTCACAGGTCTGGCTGTTCTAGTGAGGAGTGACATTTAGTTCAAAGCAGACAGTCTTCAGTGCTGCTGACTCATTGGCTGGGCTTAGTTGCTATGGTAACCGCCAGCTTTCTAAGATCCACAGTGAGATATGAGGCATGGATGGAAAGCGTCCGTGTGATCAGTAAACTTCCCATTTTAACCATGATTTACTTCAGAGAAATAGCTTCTGGTTTTACAAATTAAAACCAAATAATCTATCAAATACAGCATTTTCTTGTAAAACACTCCAATAGGCTAATCGTTTATTAACTTTGAAAAAATCATTTTGTATTTAACGTTATTTAAATAATCATATATTCAAAATATATTATTTGAATCAGCGTAAATATGTTAATTGTGAAAACAATTAAACGGAAACACTTAAAAAGTATATGAGCAATTAGTTTATTTAGGCAAAATGTTTGATTAAACAGTTAAAAGAATAATTATAAATAGTTATTATTAAAAAATAATAAATATAATGCATTTATACATTTATATAAATAAATAAATAGGTAGATTAGACTATAAAATATAAAAACCTGGTTATTGTGTATCTTTTATAGTTTATTGGTACTATGACGAAATACATGTGACAAATACTGTATGCACTTGACTTGATGTATGGAAATTTTATATGCTATTAAAATACATACATCTTTAATATTAGGCCTAAACCTTTAAATGATGAAAAGGTAACCAAGTTCGTTTCAATTAAAGGAAAGCATCAAGAAGCAAGATGTGTTAAGAGTGCTACGCTAGGGGGACGATACTGCTGGAAAAATAGAAGCTCAATATCTGCGTTGTTGATTTATTTTACAGCCCCACAGACACGCCATCCTGGTTACTGCAAGCAAATCCAAAGGTCTACTGTATCTTTATTGATCCAACAAGGCAATGAGATCATCTGACCACTTAAATTGATTTTCACTGTTTATTTTTGGCAACTCTAACGACTTCCTCAAAAGGCCATGGATGCCAGCTCAATACCTCAGATTGATATAGAGGACTGTGATGGCCTTGAGGTCGCCCCAGATGATCATTTGAGAAACCTGAAAGCACTGACTGAGAAGCTCAGGCTTGAGACCAGAAGGCCGTCCTATCTTGAGTGGAAGGAACAAGTGGAAGCTCAAAGCTCCAAAGGCTTAGCCGTGTCAGAGGGCTCATCAGAGCTGGAGAAAGGTGCTGGACTGAAGCCTGACGTCACACCTCAGAATTCCCAAGTGACTGCAGGAAATGCTCTGATTTCTAGAAGCCTTGGAGGATTTGATAATATCGATGAAGCTCTGGTTTGGCTTAGAAAAGAACTGGTAAGTCAAAACGTTTCAAAATCTTCATTTGTTGACTGAAGTTATCTGAATAATGCATGTCAGCATCTCTTAAAATATCAGAAAACTTGACCTTTTATGACAAGATCAGTTTTAGGTAAAATGTCATGTGGTGCAACTCCCAAAAAAGTATAATTAATATCATCTAAAAATATAATTAATAATTTAAGATTTTTGTATAAATAAAAAATACCTTAAAAATAGATTTGAAATTTTCTTGCTTTTTTTTTTCTCCCAATAATGATTATGGACACTCATTCACGGTGTATGGAAAATACATGTATTTTTTCTTGAAAAATTTTAATCAACAATTCATTTTAAATGGATTTTTGAAGCATTTTCAATGAAATTGTCTTTATCGACACTCATATTTGTCATTATCATGTTCTCAAAAATGTGATTTTTCAAAATACTTGCTGCTGTTTCGCAATCATCTTTCTTTTAGGGAAGAAAACGAACAGCATCCCCATTAGTTAGCTAATTTGAATGAAACAATGGAGTGAATGCGCAGGCCTTCATTGCTACATCACTGCGTGAGAGATTGCCATTCATGTTAAAGTGAGTGGAAAAGATGGTGAGCAGATGAGCATGAGAGGTGATCGCTCTCTGTTCCTCTAAGTGTAATCACTTCTCTTCCACTCAGCCATGTGGTTCAAGGCATACTTTTATGCACAGGCCATTACAGCCAAGGCACACAATGAGGCTCCTTTAGCCACATCAGAAGCCTTTCTTCCACCACCTTTGCCCCGTGTGTGTCCATAAACATTTACACAAAGAAAACTGGACACAATAACAAAAAAAACAGGGCAAGTTGCGGTATCAAGGGGACTTCTGATGATCCATATCACCTCCCATAATTTTGAGCCCCTTGTTATGTGAAACTGACAAAAGCGTGTTTGCTAACAAAGATGGATCTACATGCCCATGCGTGGTACATTTTGCCATGAGCCTGAAAGGTAGAGAGACTTACACTACCTTTTCCAGGTTTAGGGTCAGTAAGATTTCTATTTATTCAACAAGAATGCATTCAATTGATCAAACGTGACAATAAAGATTTATAATGTTACAAAAGATTTATATTA